CAAGCCATAGAGACAGCGTTTTGTCGGAAGACAATCTTCCGTGGTCATGTGGCCAGTGCGACTTAGACGCGGAACGCTGTTACCTTCCCACTGAGGTGGTCCCTATTAATCTACTTGCATTTGCATGCTTTCGAACCACTAGGTTGGCGGGAGCTGGGACAAGTGACGGGCGCTCACTCCGTCACGTGGATTCAATCTTACGACTGCTTGGTCTTCTGACCCTGCAGCACACGCTTCTGCGGTTTAGCCCACAGCGCCACCGCGTCCCTTGTGGTGAGTGGATGGGAAAAGGCACTACAGCAAGTCACTTAAGAGTAGTTTCCCCTCTGGCCACAAGTCACTCAATCTGAAACTAACTGTGGAATCTACACAATAAAGTTGTGTACAAACAGAATATAAAAGCAAAAAATAAGTACTGTACTGGTAGAGACTATATAAACAAACAGCTCTGCCCCAACAATGATAAGACTTGCATCATTTTCCAAAGCTCCAAAGTATAAGTTTACATGGCTAAAATTAACCTTCATTCTACCTTGCTCTTTAAGTTCACAATTCAAAAGAAAATAAGTGTTCATAAATGCTAACAGCAATATGACTCAAACTGCGTTTTTGTGAATGACCTCCTTAGAGTACTAGAAAAGGATTTTTAAAGGATTTCCTTGCACTATGTTCTTCAGTGTAAGTTTTATTATGGGCCCGATTACTACCCTGTTTCCCCAAAAATAAGACCTAACCTGAAAATAAGCCCTAGTATGATTTTTCAGGATGCTCATAATATAAGCCCTACCTCCAAAATAAACCCCCAATAAGTGAAACTCCCTCCACCATTATGCAGCTCTGTGCAATAACGAGAAGATGATGACTCTATTTGAATAAATGTAGATTGTTGTACATGAAGAAAAATAAAACTTCCTCTAAAAATAAGCCCTAATGGGTTTTTCGGAGCAAAAATGAGTATAAGACCCTGTCTTATTTTCAGGGAAACACAATATTATGGCATTTCATTTTCTAGGCAGTAATGCTAATTCAGCAATGATAAAGAATGGAAACTTTAAAGCTAAGCAGTATCTGATTTAAGATGATTTGTATACACCTGAAATGTAGTATGAACAGAACACCAGCATTTGTACTATCAGAGAAGCAAGATTAGGTATGCTTGGACCAAAAGTTCAGATTCTGTGTAAAATATTATCTTATATTATTCATACCCAAGATGCTCTTGGGACTTTAGGAATATTTCAAATCAACAAACACATGGAAGGAAATCTGTAAAGACACTATTATTTGACTATATGCATAGATACTTGCATTTCACTACTGATTTCTTGTTCACTAGGGGAACCCTACTTTCTTCTATGAGACATTCTGTATGATTGTTCTAATTATAGTTTGCTGTTTAATCACTGTCCCACACTAGGGAAGAAACAGTGATTTGAGATCTGGTTTAAGAACAAAGTATGATTTTGACTGTAAGTTATCTGGAAGATTTTGTTTCCCTTTCATATATACCTACCTGAACCCTGATCAACTTCAGAAAGCCATCTCAGGATGTCAAAGTAAGATTAGTGACTAGCAGAGAGGGCTTTTTTTGGGGGGGGGGTTGTTTGACAGTCTACTTTTGAGCATGCATAATTGCATTGCTAGTGATCTTCAATAGCTGTCCTTTTCAGTTTTGGTTAGTCTAATTGTTTTAACATGAATTCCTTTCAAAGAGCTTGTTATATCAGATGTAAAACATATATATGTGTGTTGTGAAGTGACAAGGAGGTTAGCGTCCCTGTCAATGTGCCATCCCCTCTTTGCCCAGAAGTCAAGGGCTATGAGACTTCAAGTGCTTTGATTGAGCAACTGAGTCAGACTTTTAGCACTGTAGTTGGAATCACACAGACACAGCTCTGAGCAGAAACTCCAGAAGCTTAAGAAAACTGAGGAAACATCTCACCTATAAAAGTCACCTCTCCAGATGGCACGGAAAACTTGGGAAAGGGAAGACCAATGAAAACAGTCATCTCCCAGTTTAAAAAGAAAGGTCTGGCATAGAACTGGAGGAGAAAAGACTAATGGGAGAGACTACTGTATTTGCCGGCGTACAAGACGACTTTTTGGGCCCAAAAACATGCCTCTAAGTGGGGGGGGGTAGTCTTGTATGCTGGGTGCACTTCATTTGGGCAGGAAGGAGCCGCTGCCGCTGTTGAGTGAGTGACGCGGGGCCGCGCTGGCCAGGGAGTGGTGGCACTGCATGTTAACCCGCAGAAGCCTCTGTGCTGCAAGGTCAGAAGATCAGCAGTCATAAGATCAAATCCATGTGACGGAGTGAGCCCCCGTCGCTTGTCACAGTTCCCACCAACCTAGCAGTTCAAAAGCATGCAAAATGCAAGTAGATAAATCGGTACCAACATGGTGGGAAGATAATGGCATTCCATGTCTAGTCACGCTGGCCATGTGACCACGGAAGATTGTCTTTGGACAAATGCTAGTTCTATGGGTTGGAAACGGAGATGAGCACCGCCCCCTAGAGTCGGACACGACTGGACAAAATTGTCAAGGGGAACCTTTACCTTTACCTTACAGCAGGACCTGCTCAAAGAGATATGAAGGAAGCAAAAAGGTGATCTTCAGCTGGAGTTACCTGAAGGATAGGAACTTATGGAAGACCCAAGGACTGGAGAACTAGTTAAGCTCTGGGTCCCTAAAGAGTAGGCACAGAGGTGTAAGAAGTGCCAGATCCCTTGGAAACCCCCTTACTGGGGAGACAGTTGAGGGAACAGAAGAGGTTGAGAAGAGAGGAAGGAATACCGGATTTGGGAAGAGAGGTGCAGAGGGGATGGCAGAGATCAGCTGAAAGGAAGAGGGAACATTCTTTGATGGCTACAGAAAAAGAGGTCGTGGTCAAGAAATGAGAAGATAGTGGAAGGAGACAGGGCTCATCACTCCCAGAGCAGCAGTCTCTGTGTCGCTCAGCCTCAAGCTTGCATACTCCCACTGACAAGGAGAGGTTTGGTGAAACCCTCCGTTGATAGATGAGATGTCACCAGATGTTAAAAAAGATAGTTTAAGTCTCACCTGCTGACAGATGATGATAGACCTTTTGAAGTGGTGGTGGAACAACCACTTAGTGTTGAATAAAAGTGTTATTGTTAAAACCAAGGTTCTCTATAAGGCGTGTGCCTGTGTGCTGGACTCTGTCTCCCCCACCACACCACCCCTGTGCAGTCTTCCTCCTCCTCTGCACACCACCAGTTATCGTTTTCAGCCCCTTTGATTCTGGTCGCAATGGAATCCTGCGTGGGGTGGGAATCACATGCATGTGAAGGCAAAGTTGCACACACAAAGGGCAGACCCTCGCCCAGCAGGGATGAATGTTGCTTACAGCTGATGTTTTCTCATCTGTGGGCCTGGAGTCAGGAGAAACCTCTAAGATTAAGGTAGAATCCAATCACAGTTAGAAACAACCAACTTTAGGATGTTCATAAGTGGAACACAGGTTCTTACTATCCAAACTGAGGAAAATTCTGTGTAAACTTAGAAATCAAAAACATACACTAAAGTTTTAATGCAAGTGTAGGCAACTTTTTTCTGTCAATAGTCACATTCCTTTATAAGCAATTTATAAGAGGCCACATGTTAGTGGTATGCAGGGCCAAATCAGTACCATTATAAAGAGATATTATACTTTTTCCTCTGTTTTATCAATTTTTCCTGCATTTGAAAATTGATAGGAGGCTATACTAAATGAGAGCAAAGGATGTGTGTAGCCCCCTACTCTAAAGGTCACAAAAATCATTACTGTACATATTCACATTTGCTTATTTATTACACCTGCATCTTATCTTCTATTCACATAGACAGCAGTGTACGTACTTCTTTCCCAACTTTATTCTCACAAGTTATTTTCCCTGAGACTTGGGGGAGATGCTGCTTTTAATTCCTACTTAGTCATGAAACTAACTGGCCGATCCAGGATCAGTTACCCTCACTCAACCTGGCCTATGTAGGGATAAAAGGGGGAAGTAAAGACAGCCATGTGCACCATGTTGAGCTCACTGAAGAAAATGTAGGAAGCAGATACAGTTAATAAAAAGTAAGATAACTCATCAGGTTGGAGAACATGGCAGCAGAGCCAGGTGTTGGGAATTTAATTCTCAATTTTGCTTCTCAAGAGAAAACCCAAAGCTGCACCAGAAGAGGGACTGCTAAACTACTTTTCAGCAATTTATATCTACAAAATCCTGGGAAGGACAACCCTAAATAGGAAATGACTTGACAGCATGTAATTATTCTGTAAGATAACTAAGCATATGATACTGTTTATTCTATTATGCTTAAATGAAATCCCCATGTTGAAAGCCATAAAGATCGATAATCACCACCATAAGCTTTCTGTAAGTTTTCCAGACATCTGATCTGACTAGCCAGTATTCGTAACACACTTTTGTCTTGAACTACTTTCCTGGGAAAGAGTGGTGGGCTGTGTCCAAACCTAAAGTGAACCACTTTAGGAACACCACAGCTCCTTTATTTATTTATTTTAAATGTAGAAGATCATGCACACAGAACACAAAAATAAGGATATTATATTTCATAAAGTAAGGGAATTAGAATGCATACAATAAAAGGAAAAAATTCGGTCCTAAGATGCAAAAGTCCCCAAATCTGAAAAAAGATTAGCGGGACAAGCCTTTGGTCTGATCCAGCTGAGGCAGGTCTGCTAGGATGATCATGGACCTGTGGAGCTCCTGTGCCTTCTGTGGGACCTATTCTTTCCCAAAGTGAAGAAACATGAGATGATGGGGGGGGGGGAGAGATGCTCTTCTTATTTCGCTTACATACTATGAAGCAATGAAACTCATTTGGGAGAGACGAGGCATGCCTCAGTAACCTTCCCTCTCCTCCTCCTCCCCTCCCAACACTCCCCCCATTCTCTTTCAACTCTGCCAGTGCGGCCTCGCTCGCAAGGAAAGGACAGGGGAGCAGGCGGGTGGGTGCGTGGGGCTACTCACAGGGTGACCGTCCTGTTAGGAAGGGCTTCGGGAGGCAGGACGCGGGCCAGCTCCAGGCTGCTGCAGACCACCTTTCCTCCGGCCCCCCCTTCGGCGGGCGGCGAGGACTTGCTGCCCCTGGAGCGGCCTCCGCCGTCCTGCTTACAGCCGGCGGGCAGTCCTGAGGAGCCGCCGTCCATCAGCGCCAGGAGCAGCAGCAGGAGCCCCGGCGGAGGGGTCCGGCACGGGGTCGCCATAGCTGAAAACCGAGGATTATTCCGAGAGCTCTTCTTCTCCCTCTCCTCAGCGAGGGGAGCCTAGAGAGACGCGGGCGACACCGAGCGCTGCAGCCAGGTGGGTGGCAGACGGAGTCGGCACTAGGGCGAGAGGGGCGGCCGCCATGAAGGGACGGAGCTGAGGTGGGGGGGCGGCGCGGAAAGGGGGGGCAGAAGCACCCCAAGAGGCAGTTTACAGAATCCTTTCGCCCAAACGCCTGACTTGTGCGCTCAGGAGCATGCGCGACTCTGTCGCTCTTGAGCACGCGCAGTACTAGTGCCAGAAGATGTCGCGCGTCTTCTGGCTTTGGGGGAAGGCGGGGGAGTAAATTATAAGGTTGGGATTCGGGTTGTTTAGGAACATGGAGTGAATATCAGAGCTATTTTAGTCAATGGTGACCCTGCTGTGTTTTCCTCCTCCTTTTCTAAACACGCTACGACGCCCCATTCCCCACCTCACCCCGCCCAGATTTTGGCGGCTGTTTCTGAGTCTCAAGGTCTGGTGTACTGAAAATGCTTCCATTTCCTTAATCCAGGACTAGGAATTGAACTCGCAAACTCAGGTGCTGCACCCAGATACTGTACTTAACTCACTGAGCTCTCCAGCCAGCATTAGTGTGCCTTATTTCTGAATAAAGTTGCTTCAGATTGTACCTCAGAACAGTGTAAAACCATTAACTCCACTACAGTTCACTCCAACTTAACCTCTCAAGTAAATGGGTATAGAATAGATTGTAAATAAAATCCAATTCATTCTCTTCAGCACTCTTGCTGTTGATATTGCATAAAGATTACAGCAATTTGAATAGAATTTTCAAGGTATGTGAGCTGAGTGGCTTTACTATTTTCATCACCCAGTAAGTTTCCACAACCAAGTAGGAAATTCAACAGAAGTTTACAGTGCAATGCCATATGGTATAAATCAACGCATGCCAAACAAGCAGATGTAGCTTTTAATTAATTTTGCAGGATTATTACTGGCTGCCTGAAACTAGTCCCATTGAAAAAGTCTATTATTTGGATGAAATTGTCCCTCCAGAAATATTTTGAGAGGTGCTAGCAAGTAACGAAAAAATTAAGGTACCGGTACTAACACTAAAACCATCCACTTCATGGACACCAACTGCCTAGATGATGACTAAAATTGAGAAAAAGTTTTCTACATGGATCTCAAGCTCTAAATATTAAACAGAAAAGGCTAGACTAAACCTATGAAGAAAAACAAAACACATTCCTGAATGGATGGAAACTGAAGAGTGTCTCCCACCAGTGCAAGGCTCTAGCTGGGTCATCTGGAAATCACTTAATAGACTTCAAAGCAAAGTAAGAAGTAATAAGAAAGAATAATCAAGTAAAATGGAGCTGCTTGGATACAGGACAAATTTTCTGTGACTGTGGAGAAATTCAGTCAATGCAGCACTTATGTGTGTGCAATTTGTGCCCCACCATGTATACAAAAGAAGATCTAGCAAATATCTGAGATAATGCTATTGAAGTAGTCATTGTAACCCCATAGAGGGATTGGATGTTCTCGCCTTTGTATATAGTATATTCCATTGTCTAGATGTCAATGCAGATATTATGTAAAACTAACTTCATAAAATGTACCAATGTGAGAAATATGTTTCTGATGCAAATGCAAATATAGTCATTACACTAGAGGTGGAGAACATGAGATCCAGGAAATGTTGTTCAGTGGCAGCTCCCATTTACCTCAACCAGATGAGAGAGCTGTGATGGCTGACAGGAACTGCAAGAGTGTTGTCCATTCTCCACTTCTGCATTAGGGAATTAGTTACAGTACATTAAATTGGCTCTAGCTCCTCCTCAGCAGCGATTTTCTGATGTTAAAGGCTTCCCAGTCCTGAGGCTCCTAAAGCAGTGGTCCCCAATCTTGGGCCTCCAGATGTTCTTGGACTTCAACTCCCAGAAATCCTGGCCAGCAGAGGTGGTGGTGAAGGCTTCTGGAAGCTGTAGTCCAACAACATCTGGAGGCCCATGGTTGGGGACCACTGTCCTAAAGGATTCCCCAGGTAAAAGGGATTCCAAGGGAGCCTTGGAACTAAGGTGGGTGGATAGCTGAATTTGTTGTTCTCGTTAAGTCGTGTCTGACTCTGTGTGACCCCATGGACCAGAGCATGCCAGGCCTTCCTATCTTCCACTGCTTCCCGCAGTTGTGTCAAATTCATGTTGGTCACTTCAATGACACTGTCCAACCATCTCATCCTCTGTTGTCCCCTTCTCCTCTTCCCTTCACTCTTTCCCAACATCAGGGTCTTTTCCCGGGAGATTTCTCCTGAGATGGCCAATGTATTGAAGCCTCAGTTTCAGGATCTGTCCTTCCAGTGAGCACTCAGGGTTGATTTCCTTCAGAATGGATAGGTTTGATCTCCTTGCAGTCCAGGGGACTCTCAAGAGTCTCCTCCAGCACCACGATTCAAAAGCATCAATTTTTTGGCGGTCAGCCTTCTTTATGGTCCAGCTCTCACTTCCATACATCACTACTGGAAACACCATAGCTTGGACTATGCGGACCTTTGTCAGCAAGGTGATGTCATCTTTTTAAGATGCTGTCTAGGTTTGACATCACTTTCCTCCCAAGAAGCAGACGACTTTTGATTTCGTAGCTGCTGTCGCCATCTGTGGTGATTATGTAGCCCAAAAAAGTAACATCTGTCACTGCCTCCATTCTATTTGTCAGGAGGTGATGAGACCAGTGGCCACGATCTTAGTTTCTTTGAGCTTCAGACCATTTTTGCACTCTTCTCTTTCATTGTCATTAAGAGGTTCTTTAATTCCTCCTCACTTTCTGCCATCAGAGTGGTGTCATCTGCATATATGAGGTTGTTGATATTTCTTCCAGCAATCTTAATTCTGACTTGGGATTCCTCCAGTCCAGCCTTTTGCATTATGTATTTTGCATATAAGTTAAATAAGCAGGGAGACAATATACAGCCTTGTCATACATCTTTCCCAATTTTGAACCAATCAGTTGTTCCATATCCAGGTCTAACTGTTGCTTCCTGTCCCACATATAGATTTCTCAGATAGATAAGGTGGCACTCCCATTTCTTTAAGAACTTACATACTTTGCTGTGGTCCACACAGTCAAAGGCTTTTACGTAGTCAATGAAGCAGAAGTAGATGTTTTTCTGGAACTTTCTAGCTTTCTCCATAATCCAGCGCATGTTACCAATTTCGTCTCTAGTTCCTCTGCCCCTTCAAAATCCAGCTTGTACTTCTGGAAATTCTTGGTCCACATACTGCTGAAGCCTACCTTGTAGGATTTTGAGCATAACCTTGCTAGTGTGTGAAATGAGTGCAATTGTATGGTAGTTGGAGCATTCTTTGGTGCTGCCCTTCTTTGGGATTGGGATGTAGACTGATCTTTTCCAGTCCTCTGGCCACTGCTGAGTTTTCCATACTTGCTGTCATATTGAGTGTACAGTAGTTCCTTAACAGCATCATCTTTTAAGATTTTTAATAGTTCAACTGGTATGCCATCACCTCCACTGTCCTTGTTGTAAGCCATGCTTTCTAAGGCCCACAGAACTTTACTCTCCAGACACTATCTGGGTTGTCTGGAACATTCAGATTTTTCTGGTATAGTTCCTCTGTGTATTCTTGGGGTGGCTGAATAGGAAACCTTTAATGAATGACAAAAGCCTGTAGCTGATACTATCAGCTTGCATGGGTGTAATTTTACACTAGAGAATTTCAGCCAGTAAGTCACTGAGCTCTGCAAGGGTTATTTTTCAGTACATATGCATGGGATTGCAATGTAGTCAACCTCATCAATAACATGAAAATGCATGTTTTCTATTGCTGTTCTAATCAAACTTATATATATAGGTTGCAACGTAGTAGATAAAATTTTGTCTTTTTGTTTGTTCTTTCTCCCCATTCTCCATAATTTGAAAGCAGGATTTAAAATAATAGGTACTTTCTATATCTGTTTTAACAGAAGGAAATCTGGCAGCGCTTCAAACCTTCACACATCTTCAGGGCAGGGAGAGATAAACAGGAACTCCCTTATCCTCTTGGGGAATTTCAACCTGTTTTTTCCCTACTTATATTCCTAATTTTATTTTACTAACTTGCCTTCCTTCATCAGTTCAGATCTTTTTGCCCATACATATTTTGCTCAGGCATTAGTATTCTGCTTTAAAGCCTGGCTTCCGTTTTTACACTCTTCAAGGAAAAACAAATGTTACTGACTCCTTAGTCATTTTTGGCCAGAAAAAAATAAATAAATCCCTATAATTGGAAATGATTATTTGTCAAAACCATGTCTAAGTCCATGGCCAGTTTCATGGCTCATGAAGAACTTAGAAACTTGCTCTCCCAAGCCCCAAATGAACAATCTGAGCAGTAACCATACTAGTCAAAGTCAAATGCAATATTAATTATAAAGCAGGCGAAGATAAGATAAAATGGATAGCCCCAAGAATTTTGGATTGGCTCATCATAGTTTCCAAGGTAAGAAATATTCAGCAATGGTATAGCTGAATAAAAGTTAAAAAGTATAGAAGTTAGCTTCAGTGTCACTGCCATTGTCTATGAAAGATCCTCCACCAATATCACCTACAACTCCCACTGCTGCACGTAGCTGCCTTCCAGGAGCTTCTACATACTCATCACTATTGGAACTATCCATTCCTTGTGTCTTAAGTCTGATGTCTCAGTCTCAACCATTACAACTTGGGTTTGTGTCCCTGCCAGGGGTCCAGCCTCCTTGATGGCATTGTTCTCAGTTTCTCTGACAACCCACTCACCTTGTTAATGCTTGCACCCAAGAGGAGGCAGAGAAATTGCAATTGTTAAAGATTTTGTGTACCTTGGTTCAATCATCAGTCCAAATGGAGATTGCAGCCAAGAAATCAGGAGAAGACTCAAGATTCAGAAGAGCAGTAATGAAGAAGTTCATCAAGTGCAAGGCTGTGTCACTGGAGATCAAGGCCAAGATCATCCACACTAATGTATTCCTGATTAGAGTATTGTGTACAGATGTGAAAGCTGGGCTGTGCAGAAAGCTGACAGGAACCGATTTATTTAAAATACTGTATGGTGCTGGAAGAGAACTACTGTTCCTGAATATATTTCTGCTTGTGTGGATAATTAAAGCAGCAATCATATACTAATTTGCCTGGAAGCAAGTTCCACTGTGGGTTCCTGTAGAGACTGATGGACTAGGACTCTGGAGACCAGGATATGGTTCCCCCCCCCTTGGCCAATGGAAGCTCACTGGGGATGGGGAGTGGAGCTGATAAAACCAATCCTTAATTACCTCATGTCCCCTGAAAGATCTATGAGGCTTGCTATTAATCAGGTCTGACTTAACAGCACATAACAAAAACAAGTTCCCCTGTTTGGAAAGTGGTGGATGAGGTCTTGGGAGACCAGGATTCAAATATCCACTCGGCCATGAAAATTCAACAGGGAGTGCCCTTAGTAAAACTACTCCTTAAATATCTGATATATACGTTGAAAGCCCTGTTAGGGCTGCCCTAAGTTGGATGTGAACTGATGATCCATAACAAAAAAAGTGTTATTGAAGTGATTTACATTTGATTAGACATGCATAAAACTGTGGTATAAGGCTGTATTCCTAATACAGTACTTACTTATCTAAGTCCCAGTTTGATTAGTTTTGAAAAGACACGCATGAGATTGATTCTACGGTTGCCCATGTACTCAGCAACGTTTAAAATACTGTTATAGAAGGTCAGGTTGTAGTCTCATAAAACCCCATCGAAACTTCCGGTTACGTGATGACGTGCATCTTCAGCATTGCCCCTCCCTGTAATTAAGCCATGGCCAGTCCGAATCCTACTTGGAAACTTTAAAATTAATGTGGCTAAAGAATTGTGGCAACTGTAGTCCTGAAAAGTAGCTTTTCCCGTTCTAGAAACTGAAAATGTTGCTCATTGTTTGGTCAGTTTAATTGGTCATTGCGGAGTTACTCCCTGAGCTTAGTTAAAAAATGTTGAACACAAGAGGGCGGGAAGAAGAGAGAAACTTATTCCAAAGATAACCGGACACTGAGGCACTATGGGAATTGTAGTTTCTTTAATTCTTCCTCTCACCTCCTCTATGGGACAATACAATGAAAGAACTACTGTACTACGTCCTCTGTGTTTCCTTCATAGATTTTTTTTTTTTGTGGGGGATGGCCCCCTTTTTTTTTTTTTTTTTTTTTTTTTTTTTTTTTTTTTTTTTTTTGCTATTTGTTCCATAGATTTACGGCCGCCGTTTGTTCTGTGCTGCTCGTCACGGGAAGAGTGATAGGCGTGAATTCGAAGTGTTACTGTAATCTGAGGAAACCTGTGCTGGCGGTTTGTGGTCATGAGCGCCAGCAGCACGTAGATTTCTGTGTTTCAGCTGCGATCGACAGTGCAGCAACTCTGTCATGCAAGTTGACTTTCATATATTTAGTTTCAGTTACGCCCGCTCATTGTTGCACAAGTCTCTCTTATGTTTTCCCCGAGGAGCTCAATTCCTTCTATAAACTCAACTTTTGTCCGGTAATCAGATATGTACCATAATCTCTTCTTACTCTGAACAATGAAAGATCTTTTTCTGAAAAATGAATTGGGAAGACCCTGGTGAATTGCACAATCCAAAGGCAGGGAGGTAGGTATTCCGCTGTTAAAAGTCCAATAGCTATCCCCCCTAACTTGCTTTTGGATTGTATGNTCTCCCCCCCCCCCCCCGGTTCATTCTATGTTAATTTATTACAATTATCCCCATTCATATATTTTTCAGAACTGCAGTATGCTTTGGTTTAACACAGAATTCCAGAGCATATAATATGAGTTATTAATTACATATCCACTCTGATTAGAGTTATGGAATGTTGTTAATTACATTTCTATTCTGCTTTTGTGCGAATGAGCTCAAGGTGACTTGCACAGGTTGTTGTTTTTTTGTTCTCTCTTTTGCCACTCAACACTGCTGTGAGGTAAGTCAGGCTGAGAGAGTGAGAGAGGCTGACCGAAGGTCAACCTGTGGATTTCATGGTATTCTTTGGTTCACAGGAAGCAAATCTGAAATCTACCTCTGCTTCTTCATATTGCAGGTACGTCATTATTGTTTTGGCATATCAGTCTGCAAAGAAGCATTATTATACCTCTGGACAAAATTAAATATTCCTTCTGTAGTGCATTGTATGTGACAAAGGATGTACTGTAGATCCCTGAGCTGGCCTGAAGTTACCAAAGAAGGAAGGACTGGAACTCATTTCGTGTTGTGGAGGGCTTCACTATTAGGATTCTGATAACTTCCAAAGGGTGAGAGGCAGACTAGTTCCTGACCTGTTTGTATCATAACCTGGTGCCTGATTTATTCTGAAAGTTTTAGGGTAAAGTCATTGGAAGCTGTGATGAGCCAGGTTGGACAGACTGACTGCATTTGTCTGTTACGTTTCCACATGTGCTGAGCAAATGGAAGGCATAGTGTTAAGTAGCTTTCCAGTGAGATTCAGCACACATCTTGGGAATAACTACTTACCAAAAAACTAGCATATTATAATTAGTGCATGGAAAAGTTAAATCTTTGGATTACAGTTCCCTGAATTTCCCAGCCCATATGGCTAATGGTCATACTTGCTGTGGAATTCTGGAAGCAAAGTCCAGAAATGTAGCCTTTCCATGCTCTGGTTAATTACCTTTTCCAACATATTGTTTGTTTTTAAAATTGTGATAATAATGCCAACCAGCTACTTCATTGAGTCTTGGAATAATAATTCAGACTCTGGAAAAGTTTCTCGGCATCTCCCACCTATCGTGGCCAATAGTTCAAAATAATTTTGAGTAATATTCTGAACTCTCCATCCAAGTTTTCAGTCAGGAGCAGAATTCTCACAATTGCAGCAATTTGGACTTGGCAGGACTTGTACTATATAAGCTGATTTCTTTAGGCTGAAAGAGGCAGAGAAAGGAGTTCCTGAGAGATTTCCGCTGATAAGGGGAGAAGCAGCACTCAAAACCAAATGAACAAGCATAACAGTCAAGGGAGGAGTATAGTAATTTTCAGGACTCCTCCCTGTCTATGTGGGGGTTCTCAGCTTTGGAATGCTCATAATGCTCCAGTCACATGTGCAACAATTACAAAAGAGGTTTCTAACTCTGAAGCTAACCAGAGCATGGAAACATTATTGTTTTTTGTTTGTTTGTTTTGTTTATCCTTTCTCATGTTAGAAGGTGCAGTGAGGGCTATATTGCTTAAAGAACATGTTTCCATATCTTTGTTTTTAATGGTGTGTGTGCCATTGAACAGGTTGTGTTGAATATTCTCAATCGGAATTTCAGAAGGAATATAGAATTTGCAGGGCATGTCTGCCCTGGAAGTACATGTCTACATGTCTGCCTGGAAGTGAGTCCTATTGTAGAAAATCCTATTGGGAGAAACAACGTACTGTATGCAAGAGCAATAAAGCAAGCAGGTTTTTCATTTTATGGACTGCTAGCCATGCACCTGCCCATGCAACTAATTAAATAATTGTTTGTGCAACTGAGAGAGACAGGGCACGTGGTAGACAGACTTGAAAACAAGTTATAGCGCTTATACAATGCTCCTTAATGATGTCGTGTAAGGTAACAAGATTCTAAGCACTGAGCTTGATAGAACTGGTTCTCTGATCATGCTTGTAGGGTTGTGCTGTCCTGCCTGGCAAAGATGGCCAAGGGAAAGCCAAGCTGGCACTAGGGTAACTGAAAATATTAAAAAGTTAACATATTTCTCACATGGGGACATTTCAAAAATAGTTAAGACTACCCTTGTCCTGGCCTCAGTTTATGTTAGCATCGTGGCTTGTGTTCCCAAGTTGGAAAAGGTTTGGATCAGTTGTAGTAGGGACTGTGCATTTTGAGCATTTGTTCAACTTTCCTTGCACCCATCATACTGGTACTATATCCCAGTGTCCACACAATGGAAGGTGGAAACTACTGTCAACAGTCAAAGCAGATAAAAAAGGGGCTTCCTGTTTTTGTTTATTTATTAATTCATTCATTTATATTATTTACAGTATATACCACTTTTTTCTGCATAGGGGACCCAAGGCAGCTCACAAAAATTAAAATTGTACAATAATAATGTTAAAATTGTCATGCAAAACTATATATTAAAAACAATTAAATATTGGTGAAGATTTTTAAAAAATAAAATTTGTTTTTAAAATATCTAAATTTCAGAAAGAAAGTGTTCCCTAAGCCCCAAATTGTTATTGGTGAAGATTTTTAAAAAATAAAATTGTTTTTTAAATATCTAAATTTCAGAAAGAGTGTTCCCTAAGCCCCAAATTTTTGCTTAAAACAGTGGTCTCCAACCTTGGGCTTCCAGATGTTCTTGGACTCCAACTCCCAGAAGCCCTTACCATCACCTCTGCTGGCCAGGATTTCTGGAAGCTGAAGTCCAAGAACATCTGGAGGCCCGAGGTTGGGGACCACTGGCTTAAAGGACTGCCTGAAAAGGTCTTTGGCCTCTTCCATCTTGTCCTTCCATCAGACAATCTGGCTTCTCAGGGCAGTGCATTGCAAAGCCTGGGAGCAGCCACTGAGAAGGCCCTTTGTCGTGTCCTCAGGAAATGAGCTTGGGAAGGTGATAGAACCATGATAAAGGCCTCCCCAGAAGATCTTAAGAGCCAGTGGTCTCATATGAGGTGATACAATCCTTAAAATAGCCTGGATCCAAGACATATAGGGCTTTATTGGTAATAATCAGCACTTTGAATTGAGACAGAAAGCAGACTGGCAGCCAGTGAAGATGTTGTAATAAAGGAGTTGCATGTTCCCTGTAACCAGTGCCGGTCAGCAGTTTGGCTGCAGCAGTTTGAACCAGCTGTAGTCTCTGAACACTCTTCAAAGGTAGCCCTTTGAAGATACAACTAAAGCATGTGTCACTGTGGCCAGATCAGACATCTCCAGGGATGGGCACAGCTGCCACATCAGCTTTAACTGTGCAAAAGCATTCCTGGCCACTACTGAGACTTGTGCATCCAAGCTCAAGGTTGAATCCAGGAGCACACCCAAGCTGTGAAATGAAATTTTCAGGGGGAATATAGCCCTATCCAGTACAGGCTGGACTTTTATCCCCTGATTTAACTTGTGACTGACCAGAGGCACCTCTGTCTTGTCTGGATTAAGTTTCAGGTTTTTTAGCCCTCATTCAGTCCATTACTGCAAAATAGGCACTGGTCCAGGCACAAAATATCTTCCTTGGAATCAGATAGAAACGGGAGTTAAAATTGTGGTGCCATCAGCACACTGATGGCACCGAACCCCAAAACTCTGGAAAACCTTCCCAGCAGTTTCATATAGATTGTGAATAACATGGAGGACAGTACTGAGCCCTGGGAAACACCACACAGGCCAATGGTCAATAAATTGAACAGGATTCCCCAACACCACTTTCTAAGTTTAGCCACCTAGTAAAGTTTGAAACCACTGTAAGATAGTTCCTCGTGTTTTACTTCACCCTCATTTTTATATATATTCTGTGCGGATCTGATTTGTTCCAGTGCAAAAGTTTGAAACCACTGTAAGATAGTTCCTCGTGTCTTACTTCACCCTCATTTTTATATACTGTGCAGATCTGGTTTGTTCCAGTGCAGAATCTACACATGTGGCCCCAGTATCACTCTGATTCATGTTGATCCATTTGATGATGTTTCTTTCCATTTTCTGTTACATACTTCTATGTTACTGCCACTCCTTTTCAGGGACGTCAACTCTCCCTGCATTCTTCGTTTTTATTTTTTAAATAATGTTATCACTTTTGAATCATATTATAAAAGCAAAAACAAAAGGAAGCAAGCAAGCAAGGAAACAAAGCAAAAATGTGAAGGTTTAAGGATGTTAGGTGGGTAAAAACAAGGAGAGGAGAGAGTGAAGTAGATGGAGAGAGGGCCGAAAAGATAGAAATTGTTCCTATGTTCTGCTTTTTTATTTTTTATTTAAATTATTACTTTTCCACTATATGTAAGTGAGAACTAGAAAGGGAGCAATTCTGGATCTTAGTGGACAACTGGAACCAGAAGTACCCAGTACATTCAGCAGCAAATGCCCTTCCCATGTTTGGATGTCAGTACTTGGATGGCCTATTTAAAATTGCAGCCAAAAAAATACAAGAATGACTGAGAGCAACTAAAGAATGACTAGGGACAACACCACAGCATGGAAGAGCCCATGCCTCCTCTCTTATCACCCTTCTTCTCTGCCCCTTATTTGAATCTTCTCCTGGGAGATCTTAGCTAGAAGAATAGTTCTGCAGGAAGAACTCTGAGGCCAGAAAGACATTTTTTGGTAGTGGAGGAGGTTTGTACTGAATTTTAATCCCCTACAATCAAGTACATTTTTGAGTTAGGATTGCACTGTTTGCATGGGACAAGAGAGTACTGAGATTTACAAAGCCTTTGTAATGCTTCATCTGTGGAGCAGAGGAATTGAATACTTTCCTATAAGACTCTGTCAGTTCCCCATGGAGCAGCTGTGATCCAAGAATACTTTCAGCTCTACTTAAGAAGCAGCTGTCTCTACCTTTAAAATTCAAACTGTTTTTCTCTGCCAATTCCCATCAGCTAAAGGATGTCACCTACCAAGCCCCGGCTGAGATCCAATTGGCTGAATTATGCAGGT